CCCTAGCTTGCTGAGAGTTTTTATCAGGAATGGATATGGGATTTTGCTAAATGCTGTTTTTTGCATCTATTGGAATGATCACATGGTTTTTCTTTTTTAGTTTAATATGGTGATTTTCATTGATTTTCAAATGTTAAGCCAATCTTGCATTCTCAGACTAAATCCTGCTTGGTCAGGATATATTGTCCTTTTTATATATTTTAGTAGTCTGCTAAAATTTTGTTTAGAATCTTTTCATTTATATTTATGGGAGATGCTGGTCTGTTTTTTTCTTTTCTTTTAGTGTCTTTGTGTGCTCTTGGTACCAGGGTAATGCCGACTTCATAGGACAAGTTCAAAAGTGTTGTCCTACTTTCCAGACCAATTTGTATCAGAATTGGTATTTTTTTCTTAAACATTTGGTAGAGTTTGCCAATGAAACCATTTGTGCCTATAGTTATCCTTGTGGGAAGGTTTTTAACTACAAATTTAATTTCTTTGATAGATATAGGGCTATTCAGGTCATCTGTTCCTTTTTGAGTGAGTTTTGATAGTTTGTATTTTTCAAGGAATTTCAGTTAGGTTGTCAATTTATTGCAAAAGTTTTTTTTGTGATATTCCCTTACCATTCTTTTAATATCTGTAAACTTTGTAGTTGTTTCACCTTTCTCATTCCTAAATATCGGTAATTTGTATGTTATCTCTTTTTACTGATCAATCCGATTGGAATTGTATCAGTTTTATTGATCTCAGTGAACTAGTATTTGGTTTCACTGATGTTCTCTCTTGTTTTTCCTGCTTCAGGGATTTGTGCTCTGATTTTTATTATTTTCTTTTTTGGTCTTACTTTGCATTTAATTTGCTTTTCTTTTCCTAGTTTCTTAAGGTGGAAGCTGAGGTCATTGATTTGAGGCCCTTCTTCTAGTCTTACATAGATGTTTAGTGCTGTAAGTTTACTGCTAAGTACTGCTTTAGTGGCGTTCTCCAAATTTGATGTGTTGTTTTCATTTTCATTCAATTCAAAGTATTTTGTAATTTCCCTTTTGATTTCTTCTTTGACCCATAGGTTATTTAGATGTACGTTTAGTTTCCAAGTATTTGGGGATTTTCTCAAGATTTTTCTGTATGACTCGAATCCCATATTCTGGGCTCATTTTATGGCCCGACTATGGTCGTCCTTGGTAAATGTTTTGTATGCCCTTGAGAACCAATGTGTATCTTGCTGTTTTTGGGTGGAGGGGTCTATAAATGTCAGATCTAGTTGGTTTAGGGTGGTGTTTGCTTCTTCTCTAACCTTGCTGGTTTTCTGTATACTAGGTCTATTGATTACTGAGAGGAATGTTAAAAGTTTCCACCTATAATTGTGGATTTGTCTCTTTCTCTTTTCAGTTCTGTTAGTTTTTACTTTCTGTATGTTGTAGCTCTGTTATCTGTAAGTACACATTTAGGAATTTTGTGTCTTCTTGGTGAACCCATCGTTAAGTATTGTCTCTTTTTTCCCCTGATAATTTTTTTTGCTCAGAAGTCTCCTTTGTCTGATATTACTGTAGCCACTTCAACTCTCTTTTGGTTAGTGTTTTTGCATGATATATATTTTTCTGTGCTTTAACTTTTAATTATTTTTACTTGAATAACTTTCCCACTAGGCTTGTGAATGGTCACATGGGAAGTTGGGAATTTTTCATACGAGTTTTGAACCCTCTCCTTGTGTAGAACTACACAAAATGCCATACTTTTTCTAATAACGTTCTTCCTTGCTGAATTTGTTCATTTTTACTTTGGTCTTTCCTGCTTTCTGTGAGAATTCCACCTTTCATGCCAACACACCACTGTGAAATATTTACTGTGGACCTGATGTACATTAGCCTATGCTCAAGGTGCTGGGGATGTAGCAACAAAGTCCTTCCTAGGGCAGTTATGTTTCAGTGGAGTGAGACAGACTGTAAACAAATATACACTGTGTTAGTGATGATAAAGTGCTATGGGGAAAAAAATAAAGCATTAAGAAAGGGAGGTAAGAGGGATGAGGCAGATGAGGGATGAGGGGCAGAAGGGCTCTCTGACAAGGTGACTTTTGGACAAGACGTGATGGAAGTGAGGGATGAACTGTGTGGGACTAGGGTGAAGAATATTTCTGGCAGAGGCACAAAGAGTGCAAAGACCTAGGATGGGAATATGCTTGGGAGACGAGTGTGGCTGGAACCAAATAAGTGGTGTCAAAAGTCACCTGAACCAGCTGGAACATTGTAGAATTCTGAAATACTGCGCTGAAAACTGTCCTTTAACAGCAACGTGGTCCAAACCGAACAGTACAAGTGAGGCTTCAGCTTTTGCAACAGAGCATGGGTGGGGTGGGCAGGGAATAGAGACACTTATTGCTTTGCATCGGCATACAGCCAACTACTGATAAAGTTATTAAGACTGAAGACCAGTGAGCTGTATGAGATGTCTGTCTGTATTAGTCTGGTCTGAGTAGATGAATGTTAAATTCTTTCTGTCACCCAAGATTCAAGTAGTTTTCTTTTGTTCCTTGTCAGTTCTTGAATGTGCTGGATAGTCTTAGGTGAGTCCCAGGCCTTTCTTAACCTTTTTCTAGTTTGTGAAGTATGGCTGATACTTACTGTATCTCTTAGGTGCGTTAAGTCACTTGTAAAATCCTTTGGAAAATTAGAAGACTCATAGATGTTTTCACAAAAAGCATCAGCTAATGGTTTGAAAAATTCAGTGGAGTGTAATGGGAAAGGCCGTAGGAAAAGGGAGGTCGGGCACAGTACTACACTTTGGTTTAGCTGGTCAGCTGGCAGTTTCTATTTTGACAAAGATGTGTGTGTGTGTTTGTAGGTAGTTGATGTCTGTATGTGGAGAGGAGTAAAACGAAAACATTGACCAAAATAGTGAGATTGCTGTATTTCAGAATGCAGCACATTCACAAATTTTTATTTTATTGCAGGTATTTCTTGGTGGATTTTTACGCACCGACAACAACTGTTGAAGGCATAATGGAGCATTTGTCTCGAGACACTGATGTGATTAGACCAAATATTGTAAAACACCCTCTGACCCAGGAAGTGAAAGAGGGTGAAGGGATCGTCCCAGTCCCACTTGAAGAAAAGCTGTATTCCACCAAGAAGAGGAAGTGAGAAGATACACCAGATTTTAGCCTTCTATTTAATTCTCTCACTTTTGAGCACCATGGATTAATAACTGACCAGCTTGATCTTTATGTAAGAGGGTGCTTTCGGTGCCCTTTGATTTTTCTAAGGTACTTTTAGTTCTTGATCCCCTTTGCTGTGAAAAGTCGGGGAAAGGCCTCCTTAGAGCCACTTTGTAATATGTGGCATCAGCGCTCCCTGCTCGATTGCGTTTCACGAATGTAATTTGTCGGTGAGGACTTTGCCCTACAGCAGCACTAACACCGCTTTGAAGAGCAAAGATTATAAAAACCACTTTGGATTGCACGCTAGTCATTCAGACTGTATACCACCATGCAAAATAAAATTTTAAGACCTTCGTATTATATGAGTAACTTTTTTTTTTTTTTTTTTTTAATTTTTTTTTTTTTTTCTTGCGTTATGCGGGCCTCTCACTGTTGTGGCCTCTCCCATTTGCGGAGCACAGGCTCCGGATGCGCAGGCTCAGTGGCCATGGCTCACGGGCCCGGCCGCTCCGCGGCATGTGGGATCCTCCCGAAACGGGGCACGAACCCGCGTCTCCTGCATCGGCAGGCGGACTCTCAAGCACTGCGCCACCAGGGAAGCCCTATATGAGTAACTTTTGATCAGAGTGAAAGTCTGTGATTTTAAAGAACTTTTGCCTCCTCACCTCCCCCAGCACTGTGCCCCATCCGAGGCCTCACAGCTCCAATCTGCCCAGAATGCTGGCAGCGTGTGGGCGGGGCTCCCGGTTACCAGTGCAGGTTCAAGACTGGGAGAAGCCAGGGTGAGGGCAGGTGGGATGTGTCTGTCCCTTGACTCCTGGGCAGTCACTTTTCCTTTCATCTCACAATTAACTTGTCCTTGTGGTGGGTGCTGCTCTTGGTAGAGGGGCGTGTGTGTTCCGTGGCAGTTGGTGGTGGCACTGCTTCCTGTCATTCCTCTGCCGGTAGCATTGCTTCCTCACTGTCCCTCGGGCCTGCAGACCTCTTTGGGGAAGTGGCCACCTTTGAACTCTGCCCCTCCTCCCTTCTCCCCGTTACCCTGATGAGTTGGAAGCCAATTGCTGTTGAGTTGGGGGTGCCCAAAGAGTTAGCTGGCGCCATGCCTGTGGCTAGTGGCATGCTGAGCTCTTAAGTTAGGGGGACTTGTAAGAAGATCCATCTTCTTTGTTGTTGTTTTTACTTGATACTCATAGACCTATTTTTAAAAACAAGTCCTGGAAATAAAAAGACAGGTTTTGCTTTGAGAGATTTTTGTGTTGGCAGGGGAAAAGTTGGGTTTGAAATGTTGTTGTACTTTGAGACTAAGAAGCAGCTAGTCTTTGCTTAAAATTGATTTAATTAGGGTTATCATATTTAGCAAATAAAAATGCAGGATGGCCAATTAAATTTGAATTTCAGATAAATAATGAGTCAGCTTCCACATAAGTATGCTCCAGATATTGCGTGGAGTAAGTACACTTACAGCAAAAAATGATGCATTGTCTGTTTGACATTCAGATTTACCTGGGTGTCCTGTATTTTATGTGGTAACCTTGGTATAACTCACATAAAGGAATAATCAATACCAAGCCAGAAACAGCAAAGCTGAGAAGAAAATAAAGTCAACATCCAACATCCTGGCTTCAGCGGACTACACTGGCAACGAGGCAAGTTACAGAAGAGAACACAGTGGGTGTCCCTTAATGTGCCCCAAACCCTTGTGCCCTCAACGTACCAGAAAACTGATGTAGAAGCCAACTGAAATTTCATTTCTGGTCAGTGCCAGAAAATCTGTTCTGGGAGCCTGAATTTACACCACAGTCTGAGAATTCTCCTTTAAAAAGTTCCATATGTGGTCTCTGCCCCAGGTCTGGGACGCTGAGGACCTGGGGTCCCTGGCAGTGGGATGGCTTCTGTGGTGGGTGAGGATGAGGCTTTTTGCTGAAACAGTCACTGGCATCTCCTCCTCAGTCTCCTCAGAGCTGGTGAATTGGAAGAAATTGACCGGCCTTTCCGTCTTCCCACAGCGGGGCCCTGCACGGGGTGTCCATCAGCAGCCCAAATGACGAAGCTTCTGCACACAAGTTGTTGGGGGAAGTGCCAGTTACTAAGTCGAATCTCTGGTTGTACTAATTACACAGTCAGATCATGTTGAAGCAGGAGGGGGCCCAGAGATCTGGCCTCTGCCTCTTTTTAATGGTGAGACTGAAGCACAGACAGATGTGCAAGAGAGGTGCCCCAAGAGCCAGGAGGAGCCCAGCTCCAAACTAGTCCAGAGCTTCCTCCCTCCGGGATGCTGCCTGTCTCTGCCCTGGAAGATCAGAGTCCGCCCTTTGCTTATTCTTAAGAGCCCGGGCAGCATCCAGCTTCTACTTCCTCCAGAAGCAAAACTTAAAAAGTCTCTTTGAAGAGCAATAGTTCAGTCAAGAGGGTCATTAAGAACTGTACACTGGAAATAAAAGGGATAAAGTGGAGATTGTCGGGGAAAATATTCTTCTTCCTGTTCATTAGGAATTTCCTGAAAGCGCAGGCTCTCAGCCAGGGCTCGAGGGAGCACAAGCTCTTCCACCAAACGGCTTGGGTCTCCATGTACTTTCACTCAGGTGCTATCTGAGGTGCGTCCTGCGTTTTCCTTACAGTGTATTATGTGCATGCTGCGTGCCCTGTGCTGTGCTGCACACACTTAATCTGTTACCTCATTTAGCCCTTTCAGCAGCTCTGTGAGGGAGTGGTGTTACCCCTGTTTTTTGGATGAGAAAACAGATTCCAAGAGATTTGAACTTGACCCCACAAGTACCAAATGACAGCTGGGATCTTGAACTGGGGACCCTGACACCATGGAGTCTTTTCCATCCGGTAGCACTGAGGTTGTCATTGTTCTCTCTGGTTAAACAAGGCACCTGGGTGTCAGGGGTGAGTTAGTGTCACTCAGATATTAGCAGTTGTCCTCGTGTCCTGAGTGTGGTGCTGGCACTTTCTTTTCCTGCACTTGCTAGCCCCTAGGAAATCGACGGACTCTGTTGGGCATTCCAGGTCATCGAGTGTTCGGAATCCTGTGGCACAGTTTACAGCGGCTTAGGAAGGAGGCTGGCTAAGTAGGACAGCTGTGCTGTGTGCCAGTTCCCCTCCAAAATGAAGCCACTGTCCCTTCCCCCTGAGGCGCTGATTCATAGCTGGACCTTCAGCCACTAAGGGGCCCTTGCCCCCTTGCAGCCTGTTGGGATGCCAGGGTTTGAGCAGGGCCTATGTGCAGGTCACCTCCGGGCTGCTTCTTTGCCCTGGGTCCTCTTGCCCCGGTTGGCGGCAGGCAGAGGGTAGTTTGCCCCTTCAGTGGACGGTTATCAGGGAAGTGCTGGGAGTAGAGCATGGGCAAAGACAGTCCTGGGGGGCTGATAGCTGGGAAGGCAGAGTGGTGTGGGTGTTGCCACATGGGGGGCGCTGCAAAGGGAAAGAGC